GGAAACACAGCAAGTCACTGACTACAAAAATAAAAAAGTCAAGATGCAGTAACTTATGCCTTTAGGGTTAGTCTCAGGGAGAATATATTTGAATTTCTCAGGCAGGGTAAATATCACTTAATGCAAACTGATTGAAGAGCAATTACTTCCCTGTAACACCTAGTTAATCAAAGCCTCGCTTCCACTCTTTGCAAGACCACCTGTGATTCCAAGATCCACAGGGGCAGACATCCCAGTTTCCATACCTTCTTTACACAGTTAGTTTTAAACAACCATTATTCCTTCACACTAATCTAAGTGTTATGACCACTGGTACATTTTGTTTTGTCTGCAGTTTCTACTGACAACTGCAAATAGCCAGAGGGAGATCCTTCCTTATTTTCTTGGGAGAAAAGTTATGCCAGAAAAAAATGATTGAGAAATATTCTCACTTGAGCTTCACACGTAAAACTGCATTTTTTTTTCCAGAGACCAGCAGTCTCTCTCACCCAGGGAGCAAACCACATGCATTCACACACAACCAGCTCAGCACTGTGCTGTAGGATGTTTTTTTTTGCCCCCCTCTATCCTCAAATTGCTTGCCTCAGCCTAGGTGAAGCAAAGTGTCAAAGTGTTTGCTGAACAATCAGAGCAAATCTGAATGATCAGAGCAAAACATGTCACACTGCATTTGCTACCCCAAGAGGTTTACACCATCTCAGAAGCAGTAAGCCAAGGCAACTTCTCCTGTCTTTCCTCAGACATTACAAGCTGAGGTAAAGTTTTGTTTTCCCCACATCTGCATGAATGCATTGATATACCTGCCATAAACAGACACATACCCCTTTCTGACAGAAAACCAGGAAAATCCCATCCTAAAGCTGACTTACTGCTCTGCTGACGGATACCTTTGAAAGCTCACTGGATTGTATAGCAAAAATGTGTTTGGAGATGATCCCTACATTGCTGAGACGAGAGTGAAAGGCATGGGAAGTCTTACACTCTGGCTGCATATTTAACACAGATTTCTATCCTTCTGGTATTTTCCTTTAGTACTGTCAGCACTTGAGAGTCTGTTTTTGCTATTTATGCATTCTCTAGATCCTAAATTGGAAGGCTTCTACAAGCTTCTTTCAAAACCAAAGAGGAATAGTTCCAGTAGATCCTAGGCAATTAGAGATGCTGGCAGCCTTCAAGAGAGGCTTTCGAACTACAGCTACACACCTAAGCTTTCAGAAACAACCTGCAAGACAAAAACATGTCAGCTTCCTCCTCTGCATACACAGATAACTTCCTAGAGGAGCTAGCTAGGATGAAACAAGCCACGAGCTGCAACACTGAAGGCCAAGCCTAGGCCAGAGTATCTGGTAGCTAGCCCCACACCTTCCACCAAAGCTCATCACAGGCACCAGCTGGGACAAGAATCAGTAGATTTGAACAAATTTGTAACTTCAAGGCCATGCTGGTTTTTGCTATGATGAGTCAAAAAAAAATAAAGAAAAACACAGATGCAGTGAGATCATCTCATTTTCTGGAACCTTCCTATCTCTTAAAAGTCTTGCCCAATTTCCCCTCAAAATTTCCACACAAAAACATCTAGTGTGCTCCATGGTCACGTCGGCTGAATTGCAGGTGGGTTGCATTATGTTTGGCAGCCAAGACAAGTTCAATCACCATCATTTGGAGGTTAAGTTCACCCTGAACTGTGGACAGGCTAATGTCTCTCCATAGGAATTTTTTCAGTTATTTTAAACAGCTCCCAATTGCACACAAGACCCATTCTGTAATAAAAGCAAAGAGAAAACAAAATCTAAAGGAATTTTATCTATTTCTTTTTCCACTTATTCCATTTAAGCTTTCTTTTCTAAAAGAGTAACTGGCCACCAGAAGAGCCAAGCAGCCAAGGCATTTATTTAATCACCTCATTCTTCAAAATCCACCCTGTCCTTTGTACTTCTAGGTTTCAATAATAATCCCAAATTACCCAATGACTTCTAACATTTTTTTAGGTTTACACTGCATTTCTCTCTCCACACAGAGAAGGCTTTTCATTTAGAACAGATGCAGAGCTGCAAATTCTTCAGTAGCTGGGATTTTCCCTGCAAACTGAGACAAGCACTACCCTATCCAAGTACTGATAGTCAAAGATATGGCCAATTGCCTGTTATGGCAAGTAAAGGAATGGAAGGCTGACAGAAGAGAAAGTGGGGATAGCCTAAAATCAAGGAAGACACAGGGACAGAAAGATAACAAAATACCACCCCTCAGCTGAGCCACAGGTCCTTTCCTCTTGCAAGCAGCTGCCATCAGCTTTTAACCAGAACTACTCCATCCCAGAGCTTAGAGCTGAAGTATGCATTGAACTCGGTGGAGATGAAGCACTTAACAGCTTTGCTGAGCAAGGATGAGCAACTGAGCTTGAGTTTTCTCTGCACTTACGAATTCCTCTACGTCTGGGCTCTGGTTTTTCCTGGCCACATAGCAGCTAGTTACAGCGCAGACCTTACAATTCCCAAGAGCAGAAGTTGTAATTTAAGTGTGTAACAGCTGCCCCATCTAGTGTTTGCTCACTCATATTTCTGCTGTTAAAACAATATTTCATCTTCTGTCTAATCAATATTATCATCATCATCAATGATAAGATTACTGAATCTGGGTTTGTTTTTTTGTTTTTGTTGTTGTTATTTTAAAAATATTTTGAAAGGCAAAAATAGGAAAATCTCAGAATTACCATTTCCTATACAATTTTAATTTAGTGTCCATTTACACCTCCGCTAATAATCATACATTAATTTCTGTTGAGAGATTAAATAAATTTCACAGAAGAAAATGAAAGCAAAGCGTTTTAAGAAAAGAGAAGGTATTTTACCAAGTGTTCCGTGGAGGCAAAGTGTATTGAGGATTTGAAACTCTAGGAGGAGCTATAGGAAAACACAGGGGGGAACCCTAAATGAAAGCCAGCAGTGCCATCCAGTTAGCAACAGCAGGAGTCGCTCAGGGAAAGGCTTCTCTGCTAAACTCCCCAGCAAAACTCCCAGGGTTTGAGCCAAACTGCATAGTGACTAGTGAGGAAAGTGTGAGCCGACAGCCCTGGGGTTGATCCCTGGAGCCCTGCTGCCTCACCTAAGGCTCTCGGGAAGGCTCGGTGCTGATCTGCTGCCAGACAGATGTCCCTCCCCAAAATCCCACCCTCCTGAGGTACATGGAAGCCCTTCCAGGAGAAGCCCCCCACACCATGCAGCTATAAGGAGGGTAGTTACCCACCCCCCATCCATAGTGAGGCTTCCTTTCCGTAAATGCCACATACCTCTCCCATGTCGCAGAGTGCCCACGTGCTCCTCCAGGACACACGGTTGAAGTCTTCATGGGGAGAGCAACGCTCACCACCACCCTTGACCATGCTGTGGGTGCCACCACTGCCTGCATCACCCTGAGGTGGAGCACAACCACCTCGAGCTTCAGGCTCCTAGGCTCTCTGCATACACCCTGCTCAGAAGCTGGTGCCTCTGGGCAGGTGGGATCACACTGGGCCTGGCCTCCACCAGGACAGGAGAAAGGAAGGAAACCTCCTACAAGACACCTCTGGAAGCAACAGAAACAAGATGGAGGGAGCAGGAGGCTAAATATACTCTGCTCTGCCAGAGGCTAACAGGCTCTTTCGTTGCCTGCAACTGTGCCCTGGAGCAGGCTGGGGATTATAATATATAGCGGGTAGTAAAAGCAGCCCCATTACACTTTGCTCAGCAGGCCCCTACTTACCCCTCAGCAGCTGCTGGGGCCAAATCGTGATGAGCCATTTGGGAAGGCTGTGCCAAGGGGTGTGTGTGGAGGCCTCCCATGCACAGCATCGATTTAAAGTATCTTTACATGGCAGCAAATGAGCAATGCCTGACTTGTGCACTCTGGAAGAGTGGGATTTGTCTGCTGTGCCAAGCACGGGCATGGACCGTGAGGGGCAGGCAGTGACTGCTGCTGCCTCAGGCTGCCCCCAGACCTGCACTTGGTTAGGCAGTTCCCAGGAGCTGATTTACTGCTTACCTGTCATTAATGCCAGTAGTGCAGAAAGCAATGTGAAGGCTACATGGGACAAGAAGGCAGGAGCTTAAATCGTGCTAAGGCAGAGAAATAAAAAGGCCCTGCCGCCAAGGAGCCCGCAGCAAGCGTCTCTCAGAAACCCCAGGCATGGCTGATCCTGCCCAGAGGCCGTGATGGACCGTGTAGACCCTAGGCGGCCCTGTCCCCTCACTGAATGCTCTAGTGGCACTGAAGCACAGCCCGAGAGAAGAAATTTAGGCTGCAGAACCTGAGCTTGCAGTGCTAGGAAACGCATGGCAGAGATGGGGTTGATCATTTACTTCCCTTAGCCCAAAAAAACCCTTTTAAGAGATCCCTGCGCAAACCCTGCTATTCACACTGCTAAGATACATGTTTCCTCCCCACTTTTTTTTTTGTGTCCTGCCAGCAGCCCGGCCCAGCCTGCTCTGAATTTCTAGTCCCTGACACCCAGTTTCTGCAGTGCAGCTTCTATTTTTACCAAGATGCACAGCACAGTGGAAACAAGCTGTAGAGGTAGCAACCATAAAAGAGAAACCAGATTCAATATAAAATTCAATGTGGATAAGGACCCTTGTGGTAATGGTAGTACCCGGGTAAGAGTCTACAACACAGACGCAGGGCAGTCTACAGGATGGATAGCCACAAGGATGATGCATAAAATAAACTAGAGAGAGTGCTTGGAGTTTTCTGAATGAGAGTCTCCTTCTCTGGAGATCTTCAAAACCCGCTTGGACGCAGTCCTGTGCCACGTGCTCTAGGTGACCCTGCGTATGCAGGGGGGTTGGACTAGATGATCTCTAGAGGTCCCTTCCAACCCTAAGCATTCTATGATTCTATGATTCTATGATTTCCTGCAGAATATGGGGAGGCCACATTGGTCAGCATGGGAAATGCACAGTGCAAAGACCTTTAAACCTCTTCTGCCAACTGTGGGTTTTTTGTTGTTGTTGTTGTTTTTTTTTCAGGTCATGGCTGTGCTGCTAGCCCCTGTGCAGCTGCTGGCGGTGGCTGTCACTGTTTACTTGGAGCTGGTGAGATCCATCCAGGGCGGTGTCTATTATGGGATCAAGCAGCTGCCACCCCAGGTGCCCCAGTACCAAGCCCTCGGACAACAAGTACCTCACATGCCGCTGGGCAAGGAAGGCATCCCAATGCAGCACCTGGGCAAGGAGGTGCCGCACATGCAGTACGGGAAGGAGTATCCCCATCTGCCTCAGTACATGAAGGAGGTCCCACAGATGCCTCTGCTCGGCAAGGACATGGCTCCAAAGAAAGAAAAAGGTAGGTTTGGCACGGCCAGTGCCAGCACTGCGCTCTCATGTGCATCTCCCTGCCACCCCGTTTGCCCTGGGTAAATAAGCAGCATGGAGCAGGGCTGCTGGCAACTTGACAGAGCACCAACTGCAGCACTGCAGCAACCAGGCACAAAATAAGTTTTAAAAGCCTTGAGAGTTTACCTTGGAGTTTATGGAAATATTATAGTGTTGTCCCAACTCTGTGACTTGGAGAAAAAACACAAGAAGTGTTCTTTTGAGTATGAAGTTAGCTTTCTGTAGGCTCTATATAGGAGTAACTGAGACATTCCTACAGGGTACTACTGCACAAGTCTGCATTCACACATGTTTTCGGTATTCAGTAAAGGTGGTTTGAAAATTACTAGAATCTTGAAGAAAGCAACAAAAAAGTCCAAAAGGGATGCTCCCAGGCCTAAAATCCTGGCAGGGACAGAGAGGTCTCTGTGACCTTGGGCTTGATTAACTCTTTGCCCTTTTTAGGGTTTGGAGTAACCGAAGCCTCCGCTGGCCTCAGTGGGAAAGGGAAGAATTCAAGGCCTATTTTTGGAGCTTCTGAACACATCAAACCCGCCCATCCTGCCAGCAAAAGAGGTTTTCAATGTGCATAAAACACAAAATGGGCAGAGAGGGGAGGTTTCTGCCTCACAAAGAGCAGTTAATTCACTGGCTCTGAAACCTCAGCTATCCCCTTCCCCCAAACCCCGCATTTCTTGCTAAAATGGACCAAGTGGAGCTGGAAGAACCAGACTTTCCACTTAGCACAGAAACCTGCAGTTAGAAAGGCAACCTGCTAACCCCCAAAACAACTGCTCCCCAGCAGCAGCTCCACTACCCTGACCCAAAATGCTAAATATTCACCAACACACATAAAAGTGTGGATTTGCATAAAAGCATTCTGGTAGCTTAGCAATGTTGGGTAAAGGCTGCAGGTTTCCACTATCATTTTTATATGAACTAGGCCTTGGTAAAAAATGCAGTCGAACCTGCATATAACCATCTTGCTGACAGAACCTTATTTAATTGATCAGCCTAACATAAGCCCCTCCATCCAAAGCACTTCTATGTCAGAACTCCTCCTGTAACAGGAGGGCATCAATCAGTTTCTTTGTCCTTCTAAAATTTTAGGAGTAGATTAATCTATATGACATAGGACAAAAAGCAGAATGTCCCTCAGCTCAGGATTTTGCTTCCTGGATGGTTGGTTGGTTTGCTGGTTGGGTGGGGTTTTTTTGTTTTTTGTTTTTTTGTTTTTTGCATTTCTTCACTTACTAGAAGCTGTCTTGAAAACTGGCCTGTGGAAAACAGTGGTAGAATGTGGTAAATGCACGGTGGTAAATGGCTTTACACTACAGGAAATAAGCAAAGATGATACAAATAATTATTTCATGGAAACAAAACTGTGCATGTAAATTTGGGGTATGCAAAACTGTAAGAAGAGCCTCTTTCTCTGAAACATCAAGAGCATGCTGCTGGCCAGCTCTGCGCTCCCAGCTCCCACAAAACCAGGAGGTATCACGAGCAGCACAGTTCATTTAAAACTGCCTTTGTGTTTTTTCAGAAGACGACATTACAATAACCTTTTGTCTCTCCCCACCTTTCTTTTCTTTCTCCTTTTCTTCCCCATTCCCAGAGATGCCGATGCTCGGTTTGAGAGGCGAGCAAGGTCCCCCTGGTGAGCCTGGACCAAGAGGGCCACCAGGGCCACCAGGACTTCCAGGCCACGGAGTGCCAGGAGCCAAAGGAAAACCGGGTCCGCAAGGATACCCTGGAATTGGGAAGCCAGGTTTGCCTGGCATGCCCGGGAAACCAGGAGTCATGGGACCTCCGGGGCAGAGGGGGGAGATGGGACCTAAGGGAGAGGTGGGGCCCATGGGCATACCTGGGCCCCAAGGACCACCGGGACCTCATGGACTTCCTGGCATAGGAAAAGCAGGTGCTCCAGGCCTGCCAGGACAACCAGGAGCGAAGGGCGAGCCTGGGATGAAGGGGCCTCCGGGAGCCCCTGGCATCCCAGGCCCAAAAGGAGAAAAAGGCGTCGGGATACCAGGTCTACCTGGCTTGAAAGGCCCCCCTGGACTTCCCGGCCCACCAGGCCCGGTGGGACTGCCAGGGGTCGGGAAGCCAGGGATGGTCGGGTTTCCAGGCCCCCAGGGACCCATCGGTAAACCCGGCCCCCCAGGGGAGCTGGGGCTGCAGGGGCCCCCAGGGGTGCCAGGGATCCAAGGCCCGCCGGGCTTGCCGGGGGTCGGGAAGCCAGGCCAGGACGGCATCCCTGGCCAACCCGGCTTCCCCGGCGGCAAAGGGGAGCAGGGCTTGCCGGGACTGCCGGGGCCCCCCGGCCTGCCTGGCGTGGGCAAACCGGGCTTTCCCGGGCCCAAGGGCGACCGCGGCATGGGCGGCCTGCCTGGCCCCCTGGGGCCCAAGGGCGAGAAAGGACACGTG